CAGCACTTTTTCCAAAGACCTGTACAAGTCCAGGAGGCTCAGCACAGGTAAAGGCACAAGAAGGTAAATTCTTGCTGTGTCTACCCTGCCTTTCAAACCCTGGCTTCTGTCATCACCAAAGCCCAAACTCACCGTGCTGTCCAGCATGTACCAACATGTGCAGATCCTCAGGGTGAGTCAGGAAAAGCTTCAGACATTGACTGCTCCTTAGTTTGGGTTCCATTTAGTGTGGACAGACCAAGTGCAGCATGCCTCCCCACACTGTTGCAGCTACTCTGCCTGCCCTTGCAACACCGTTACATGATCAGTCTTAGATGGGACTCTGCTGCTTATCATAGAGATTTGCTGTAGGATTACAGGCAGTCTGAGGTTGCCTTAGTCCAAGTACTAAGTTAAAGTTTTCCTACATGAAAGAACGTGGTTTTGTCCAGACAAGATGTAGGGCTTTAGATTGCATCTTGACTCAGTCCTTTAGAGACAGTGCTGAGCCAGACTTACAAATGGATGGGGACAGCCAGTTACAAAAAGGGAATTCACAAATGAAAGGTGACTACAGGAGGTTATGCCACTGCTCCTGCCCAGCAAGGTTTGGATCCACACTGCAGCGAAACGCAGCTGACTGACCTCCTGCCCTCTTCCCTTCCCCATGTCCTGTACACATGCTTCTGGAGGAAGGAAAGACTGCATGCACCTAAAGGTCGTATCTTATGACTTCAATTTAAATGGAATAAAGCAAATTATTTTATTGAAAAATTTGATAGATCCGCATGTGTCTGTTAGCTGGAGGAAAGAGAGACTCTTGATCATTGACCAAAGGAGCAGACAAATTAAAAAACGGAGGATGTCAGAACTAACAAGGAATGCCATTTGCTTTGTGGTTTATTGCTCAAGATTATTGCTGTAAAAACTTATCTCTACATTTACATCTTTTTCCCTCACAGTGTCCCAGTTAAACTGTTGTAAATACAAAGTCATTAAATGCAAAGCTATTCTCAACACTGTAAGAAGATGGTAAATCCACAAGTTGAGATATGTTAAGTTTGATTGCTTAATTATTAGTAACGTAGATGTGTTGGTTCTTATCACATTGTTTGTGCTGAACCTGAACATCTAATCCCTTTCTCGCGCCTTTCCTCCCCTAAAGCAGTGGGATGTGAGGTAGATCTTGCTGGGAAATAGCTCAGTGCACCTTGATCCAGCCAAACAGGAGAGAAGAGCTGGATTGCCTCTCTCCAGGGATGGGCTGGCGCAGTGCTGAGGGGCCTCGGCAGGACCTTGGTGCCCAGGCAGGGATGAGTGGAGGTTTTTGCACTCACACAGCCTGCAAAAGGGCTAAGTTGCCCTGGATTCCAGGTGCCAAGGGACTCCTTTGAAGACAGCCCCCTCAGGGGTAAAATCTATGGAAATGGAGCGCAGAAGCCATGGAGATGTGCCTCCCTCTACAGTCTAGGCCCCAGCCAGGAAAAATGGCCTGTAACAACCATGAGGGGACTTCAGATCTGTGTTGCTCAGAGGCCATTTTGCATCCAAAAGGAGTGTGCCATGCAAAGCTGAGACAAGAAGGAGGATGAAGGTTCATTTTGTGGAAAAATATCAGGAAGGTTCTGAAGCAGACTGCCTAACTGGGCTTAGCCTCAAGAAATTACAATGCAAAAAACCATTTTACTCTGCAGAAATACTTGCCATGTTCAAATTTTATTTTTTGTTAGTCAGATTGAATAATCAGATAACAGAACAAAACAAATCAGGTGCCCTGGAGACCATAAGAATCCAGGTCTATCTAGTTTGGTAGGACCTTAAATACAATATTGCATAATTCACAAGTGACCCAAACAAAACATTTCCCAGGAATTTCTGGCCATTCTTTTTGCTTGATATTCACCGTAGTGGGTAGACCACAGCCAGCAGCTCATCACCCACATAGGTGCTCACTCATTCCCCATGCACAGTGGGCTGGGTGAGAGATTAGGAAGTGCAAAAGAGAGAAGACTCATGGATTGAGATACAGACAGTTTAATAAGTCAGAGAAGGGTGGGGGGGGGGGCGGGGGATGGGGAAGAGAC